GCTGGGCCAGCCTGATCATAGCTTCTGGAGGACTCAACTACACATAGCTAATACAGAGCTGCACAAAGACACCTTTGGTTTGGATGGTCTCACCTGACCTGCCGGACTGGTGCCCACAGCTTTCTGGGGGCTGGCTTTGAGGTGGGTCAGTCCCCAACCTTAGGAAAAAACTATTTGCATTGTGATAGTCCTAAGCATTTTTTGTTTAGATTTTTACCAAAGGCGCTAAGAAAATAAACAGGAGGGTGCTGCAGCTTGCTCAGTCAGTTGAGATATTCAAAAGCAGCATCACCTAAGGAGCTTCTTGTAAGAACTGAGGTAGCCATGTGAAAGGCTGCAACCCTCTTCTTCAGACCGGTAATCATTAAAAGAGGGACAGGACCAAGTTAGCATGAGTGGGACTGCTGATTGTTTTTCTGCTTCCCTCCCCTCACCCCTCAATGAAATTGCCCTCCCTCCCCGCCATCAAATTGCACTCTAGCTGTGGTGATGCAGTTCAAGTTATCTTGGTTTTCAAATATGACTCAGTCCTAAAATAAGCCCTTAAACAATTTTATTTTGTGGTTCCAAGCAATACTGCTGATGCATAAATGACATCCTGGGAGTTACATTTGAATTCTAAAATGATAAAATGAGATTACTGTTAATAACAGATTTTAAGATGAAGCATAGCAATTGCGTTTGGCTCTCTTATGGATGAAATATTATGTGATCAATAGGTTACTATGGTTTGTAGTAGTTAAGGTTTCATGTTACAGAAATAATCTATGAACAGATTAGTAGAATATAGGGTTGCAAATCTCCTGATATGGTAAACAATGCATTTGACAGACTGTGTAAACTCTGGCAATAAGAAAATACTGATTAGCGCAGACCCAGATGAGTAATTGATTTCAACAATTGATTTTTTTATTTTTATCATTTTGCATTAGCACCACACTGACAAAAACAAAAAAGTGAAATATGCTGACACAGTAATGACCGTTCACATGGCTGATGAACAGCCACAGGAACGTGAGAAATGGAGTTCTTAACACCGTCTCTTCCTTTTCAGGCCCCCTCTAAAATGCTTTTTCTTACTCAGAAATCCAATGGAACGCTTGGTCTTTTTTCCCAAGACAGAGATTTGGCCACCATGCTAAAGCATCAGGACATTTTAAATTTTTAATTAGAAATTTAAATAACAACACAAGAGATGGCCAGCATCATGACTGCAAATAAGGCTGTGACTTGGGCAGAAGACATGACTGCAGTGGGCTTTCCCAGAGCACTGAAGAAGAGACACTTCTCCACGAGTCACCTGCTCAGGAGATGCCAGAGCTGCTCTAGTCTTCCTACTCACATTACGCCCAAACATTTTCTTTATATAGTTGGCAAAAGCTATCTGGTGATTTTTAACTTAAATTATTAACTGGTTTGGGGATAAGTTAAACTGCATTTGCCTGTAAGTAAGTTTCATTATTAAAAAATAACTAACTGAGCCCTACTGCTATTTTTATCTGTTAAATCAAGAGAGTCCCTGCCTGTTGAGAAGCCATGTGAGCTGAGCACCATCTCTGTGCTGCAGTGGCAGTTTCATCCACTTTGGGGGAGAGCCAAAGTGCTGTCTGGCCTGCGCAACCTACCCCACAGCTGAGCACAGTTGAGTCAGCAGGATCCAAAATCTAGGCTCTATGGGTCACACAGAATCACAGAATCACACAGAATCACAGAATGTCAGGGGCTGGAAAGCACCTCTGGAGATCATCTAGTCCAACCCACCTGCCAGAGCAGGTCACGAGTTTGTTCTTCTCTGAGATGCCTCAGGGTAATTTGTTGTAGCACAACGCAGTTAATGGCAAGCTCCTATGCCGGCACTGAAGGAAAGCAGATTTGCAGCATTCCCTGCATAAATATCCACTTTTAGGCATCCTGGAAAAAAAGCAATGGCTAGAATTTAGACTAGATACGGGAAGAAATTCTTTTCTGTGAGAATAGTGAGACACTGGAACAGGTTACCCAGAGACATTGTGGAAGTCGCCTCTCTGGAAGTGTTCAAGGCCAGGCTGGATGGGGCTTTGAGCAACCTGGTCTAGTGGGAAGTGTCCCTGCCCATGGTGGGGCAGTTGGAACTCCATGATCTTTAAGGTTCCTTCCAACCCAAACCATTCTATGATTCCATGATTCTGTTTCTGTGATTTAATGATCATATTTCACCACTTGCCCTGTTAAAGGTGGAGTTCTCACTGAAGGCAAAGATGTCCTTAGTACCTTGCCCTGGTAAATTTGTGAGTATCAGAAATTTGCATTTGCACAGTTAGGTCCCTTTTCAATAGTTTACAACACTGCTGCTTTTTGTGAACTTGTTTCACCATAGCACTGAAGTCAGCATTGTAACTGAAGACATCTCTACTTTTATATCTGTAGTTCTATTAACTTAGGGCAATTACTTTGCAGAGAGGTGACAGTTCCTTTACGGAAGTTATTGAATGCTGGTACTGCAAACAGTGCGTCAATAATGAAAGGCCAGTAAGAAAGCATGACATACCTGCATCATTTAGAAATACTATTTTTTTTAATGGACCATATAACGTCACAGATAATTTAGGCCTGAAAGTTAGACGTTAATTTTTAATAATATCTAAATTTACTTTTCAAAGAAAATTAAAAGTATGAGATACTAATTACTGGCTTGATTGAACAGAAGGGAGATGGGGAAAGGGGGAAGAAAGGGAATGAAAACAAGGCTCACTGAGATGTCTCACTGGAGTTGGATTACCTTCAGAAGAATTCCCAACTGATTAGTAACCTTGAACATTGATAAATTACATAAGATTCACACGACCCATTCTCATTTCTTATTTAGCTGAGAATTCCAGCTTTGTTCAGCAGTATGCCTTCTGCTCTTTTCATACATGAAACACTGTGTTTTCCAAGGATTTGATTCAAGGTTTGATTATCATGTTATGTCTCAATACTCAGCTTTTTAGCTTATTTCGTAGTGTATTGCACAGTGCTTCACGAGCCTACCATAGCAGAAAGATGCTACAGCACTCAGGTCAGAGTAGGCAACAAAAAGGAAAGAGATGCTCGTTTTTCATCTATACACCATTTTAGTTTTGGTTAAAAGCTGGGATTAAACACCAGTATTACCCTGCCTTTGAGAAAGGACTGAGAAAAACATTTGAGATAATTTTCCTTCCAGTTGTCATATCCGCTGTAGGTCTAAATCTGATGTCAGTGAATGCACTGAACCAGGTTAAGGACATGGACACTTGCTTCACCCATAACTTATATACAGACCCCAAACAGGGATGCTTACAACTGCTCTGTGGGTACTTGCCCTTCTCACTGCTTTCCTTCAGAGCATTCTACAGTCTCTGCCAGAGCCCAAGGATTCTGTCCTTGAAAAATGTTAATTCTTTTCAAAAAAAGAAGTCTGGTCTTCATGCATTTCCTGTGCCTATCTTATACTTCTTACTGAATGAAATTGAAGTGTTGTTCTTAAACAGTAACACCTTCTGCTAAACCTCTCAGAAACAGGCGGGCAGCTGCCACTGAAATCCACTGCAGACGTGCCTCTGTATCCGAGGGGAAAGCATGACCTTCTGACAATTACTAGCAGGCAAGAAAACACTGTGCGGAAAGCAGCTTCTTTTTCAAGGAGCTAACACTCTCCTTGATTGCAGCTTGCCAGGAACTGGACAATAGAGTAAAAGTCTTGAATACCTGATATTTATGGACTTAGGCAAGGAAAAAGGTTTATTTGGCCTAAAAATCTTCATAGCTTTAACAGTCCAATGTAGACTTTTGATTTGGGCTTTTTAAAATTTTTTCATATTTTTAGTTTCTTGGTTTTGTTTGTATTATTTGCATTCAGTGGTCCAGTATCTCTTGTTTTCCCTGCTCCAAAACCAGCCAGTATTCACCACAATCTAGGGCTCAAGGGAATACCAATCAGATATGTGCAGTTCCATGGCATTCCTTTGATCTCCTGCTGTACCTCAAACACCATGGAGCAGCATCTGTTTGGGGAAAATAATCCTGTTCTGTAAAAAATACATGCACGGACCTCCTTTGTAACTTAATAATATCCTGGGGTAATATTAATGGATATTTTGCCTGTCTAGGTTGCATGACAGAGCTGGTCAGAGAGATGCTGAAGAGCAGCAAGGCACTTTGAAAAGAACATGACTGCTAAAGCAGTATTTAAAAGATGCTGTCATCTTGCACAGTTTCCTCATCTCCTGTTTTGCCTCCAGTATTCATGATCCATTCCGCACAAATTCAGCCTTCTCAGCCCATAATTTGTACGTACTGCTTTATTCTTTATTTCTCTTCCACAATATCATAGCTTTGGTCACGCAGCCTCTTTTATTTATCATCCCAACAGTACAGCAGTGAAAATAGGGTTTGCATATTGAAATGTTCCCCATGCATTAAGATACTTTACACAAACAACTAAAACAGCTGTGTAGCTTGTGGAAAGACAAACCGACCTGTGGCAGATGGAGAGGGGAGGAATCTGGAGAACACCCTCTGTAAATCTGAACAGATGCAAGTCACATACAAATGGTCTGTGCCCATTCTGGGTGACAGCATCGTGCTGGCACGTAGGGTCTGATCTTTAGGCACGAGAATTTGCTGTTCAATCCACTGTAATGATTCAGTGTAACTGTAATGTTCTCAGTATAACAGTGGTAGGACTTGGTAGGCATAAGGATGTGTTGGGCAGAACCTTCCATATGTAAAAGAGTGAGGCAGGCAATACTCCATCTGTATTGCCCAGCTGCCTAGGCAAACAAGGAACAGTAATAATACAAATGAAAAAGACACCCTTGAAAAGGAAAGATGGCACAAAGAGAAACTTAAGGTAAGAGAAATATTTATTTAAATTTGCACAATAACGAGCTTATACTGAACAAATTCAATCAAGAAATCATAGTAAGTGCAGTAAAACAAGGAAATATTGATGACTTTTCCCATCAGAAAACATTAAGAAGCCATGCCTGTGCATCACGTTTTTTTTTCTTTGTTTTTACAATAAATTCTTTTTTTTTTTTTTTTTAGCGCACATACTGTACATATCGCACCTTAGCTGCTAGGTTTTTTATTCCTGAAGGCTTCATTCTTTCACTCAAAAATCTGCTAAATTCTGCATTGAGCAATCAAACACATTTTTGCAGTTCCAAATATGATTAGGTAAAAATCTCTGCATCTGGTCAAGTGTTAGACTCTCAAGGTTTCGGAAGACCCCATGGGGTCTCCTAGTCGATTTTGGATCTTGACATCGTTATGTACAGCATTACAATGTGTCACTTTACACTAACCTAAATATTCTGCATAATGATGTCAGACAGACAAATAGCCAGAAGATTTGGGCCTAACCTCATACACAGGTTTACACATCTAAGCTTGACTCGAGTCCCATAAATTTCACTCTGATTCAATTAACTGAGTTCATCATGTATCTGCACTTTAGGTGGGCAAAACCAATCTAATTTTAGTTTTAATTTTGTACAATTTTTGGTCTAAAGGTCTTTTTTGTGAAGGAAAATTATTTAATCAGAAACTGTTTGTGGGAGATGGTTGTTGGTGTCACAGTTCCTGAAGGCACTGTGGGTCCACTGAGCAACAGACGTGGCCATTCTAAAGGAAGGAAAAACAGAAAGAAAAATTGAAACAATTAGCATTTTGTACAAACCAAGGCGACTTAACAAGCTTAGGCATTTGCAAACACCCATCAGATTTGAATGTACAGATTTGTAAAACACAAGACATGTACAGATTTTAATCTGACTCATGACAGTGTTGTCATGTCCTTCCCTTGCCCAAGGGAATGGGCTATTATGAATCCTCTAATTGCTTGGTTTGCTGTGGTCTGTATCCCAGAGCTACAATAGTCAAATTGAAAGAAGCTGGAATTGGGGGAAGAAATGCTCCAGACATAAAGATATCAGGCATCTGCTCAAGTACACAAAGCTGCTGAAGAAGACAGGGTGCCTGGGAGTTCTATTTAGATCAGGCAGAAGGGACTCTGGGTTTTACAAGTTAATAATGCCTGGCTGCAACACCAGCAAACATTAATCCATATAGTTTTTCGTGATAGTCCAGACATTCTTCTGAGAATATTAGCTACCAAGGGAACAGATTGCCTATGGACATCATTAAAGTACTAGAGAAAATTTTTTTATGCATCTCTACTACTTCTTAAGTCTGATTCTTACAATATAAATAAAAAGTGTGTACTACTTTTAAACTATTCCAAGTACCTTCAGTTAATAAACTGCCAGCACTGATTAAAGACCAAGGTCTGAATCATTTATACATGTTCTTTCATTCCTTCTGTTACAGAAGGTTAGGCAATGCTACTGCCCACCTTCTTTACTTGTAATTTGAAATGGTTTTGTGGCTAAGGCAGCTTTAGCTGATGCCCAGGGATTTGTGTAAACCTATTTTGCTCTAGCTTGCTTAGAGAGGCTTAGACTGGAGCTTTGACCTTCGATGTGATGCTTTGCAGGAAAAGAGTGGGGTGACACAGGATGAATGAGAGGGAGAACTATACAAACTGAGCACAGCTTGAACCAGATGTGGAGGGAGCAGGCTGCTCGTGTGCAGAAGTACAGTATTAAAATGCTGCCATTATGAGCAACAGTATGTTTCAAAAAGAAAACTGCTCTTGCAAGAGAACTGAGTAAGATTTGGCTTGCTGAAGGACAAAGTGGTACATCTTCATTGTTATGCAGATTCACACCTGAGCTGTATCAAATCTATGGGGTTTGGCAGAGTTTTAATCTCACATATGTCCATAATGCAGCAGTGGATTTCCTTAGTCTATGTACATGTTTACACCGAATAGAAATTAGTCAATGTTTTAGGTTCAGTCTTTGTTTAAGAGAAAAGGGTAGATGGGAGCAGCAGACAGGTGGCCATCAGATACTTGGCTTCTGCATTGCCATCGATTATCACTACAACCAGACAAACACATTTCCCATCCCCGAATCTCAAAAGTGCTTTAGAGAGGAATCACATGTAACTATTTGTTTTACATATGGGGAAACTGAGGCACATAAACCTCAGCAACTCGCTTAAGCAAAAAGTAACTTCTAGTATTGGAACTGGCATATGCCACCAGTGTACAGACCCCAAAAGTACAGGTTCCTGCACGTAAGCCTGTGTCTACATCCTTTGGGCAGCAGCTGGCTTTCCAACTATTAGCCACTCTGTCATTTTGTTCTAACCACCAACCCATTCTGACATCCAGACAAATGCCTACTCTTACTTTGGCACATGCCACTTCCCTCATAAAAGGACTATGCCCCAACATTAGCAACTGCTGTTGCACATAGCATTGCATCAGGCAAAGTGGAGGAAAAAGGTGATGCCCAACAGCTTCTGCTACAGGGTCTGTTACTCCCCATCTCTCCTAGCAGGAAGTGTTGAAATTAGATTATTTTTTATGAGCATGTTCTCACAGGAGTTAATTGTACCATGTACTAGAGTTTGGGAAGTATCTTCCTTGGGAAAGACACAGGATATAGATAAAAATCAGCTCTGAATTTCAGTAATAATTAAAGATCTCTGGATGAATCCTGCTGTGTCTCCTTGGCTACTGTGGAAACACTCTGTCATTCTTCAGTACTGGCTTAGTTCGAATGGAAAAACTTATTTTAACTTCCTTTTCTTTTGTATCTTTAAAAAGAGATGGCAGCATTCACGTAAGCCCATAGCCATTAATTTTTCTCCACAGACAATTCCTTTGACTACAAAACTACTAAATGTTCTAAACGTTACGTTGATTCTACTACTAATTTTAAAGCAAGAAAGCTATGTAACGATGCAAGTAGTTCTTTAATTCTCTAAACAATTATTATTCTCAAAAAGCAATTCAATCAGTTCTGATAACACTACAGTATCACATAGAACAAGTTTTTTGTGTGAAGTCTATTCTTACATATTCATTATTGGGTATGTTTCCAACATAGTGTGGAGCTATAGAGTAAGAACCGTGATCAAACTTGAATTGAGCCATTCTGGTGGAAAAGTGAAGCCCACTACCATGTGCACAGCACATTGTCCTGCTTCTGACCTGCTAGCACATTAAATCATCCGTTTAGCACATACAAGAGAAAAGTTGACTAAGCAGAACGCTTTTGCTGTTATCTCTGCTGCTTTAGAACAACTGTAGACACCAACTATCCACTGAGTGGACTCATTGCATTAATATTTACGCGCCACAGAACAAGCTTAGAAAGAAGCATCTAAGCCTAGTTTTTACGCTCTTTACCTTGCACTGGCAGAGGGTGCACTCCGTGCCGTGTTTAATCCAAGAAGATCCAGTGAAGCGAACGACATTGGTTTCGTCCAGGCAGGTTTTCGTGATGTCGTTGCGGATGGTGTCTGCTTGGCAGGGGTCAGTGACACAGCGTGGGCAGCACTCATTCTCAGGGAGGACGCTGAATTCACAATCCACCTCTGGGCAGGGCAAGGGCCAGCAGTCAACTTCGCCTTGCTGTTTACACATAGGAGGAGAAGAAGAGAAGATTATCAGGTCTTCTTTCATTACCCGTTCCTCTGACTCAGCAGAATGTTTCTTAGCTGGCTAGTTTTATCCGTCTGGTCCTATTCAGAAGTCAGTGTAAAGGACACTGATATTCACTGCCTGTGGAACACACAGCAATCTGAGTGATTTTTTTCTGCATGCTAATCAGAAATTGTATGAGATTTCCCTTACTTCAACACACTTTACATCAAGCTGCAGCTGAATATTCTCCATAAACATCACACAACATAGAACACGGCTATGTCCACGTGAAGTCCTACTTCTGCAAATAACAGAAGCCATAACAGGGCTGTACTGCAAAAGAGCTTTGAAATCTCAATTTTCACCCAGTTCTTACTTCTATTCAGGCTGCTGGTTCACCATAGAAAGCCCTCAAATTCAGGTCTGAATGCCACAGTTACAAATGCACAGGCAGGACTAGGGGAGTCAAGCTACCTGCAGCCCAATGCATTTTCAGTGAGGGGACCTGCACCCATGCACCATCCATCTATGATGTTATGATCAGAATACCTGAACTTCCAAAGTTAATCACACTTTCTGCAAGAAGGGTTCAGTACACTCAGGGTATGAAAAGATCAGAAGAGAGGTTTGTGTTTCTCTTTTGTTCTTGCCAGAACATTCTAAGGGGAAGTGACCATATGCCTGTACACAAATCTAAAGATGTCTAATTATTCATGTCAGTTACCAGAAGATTAGATCAGCTTCCCTTCAACTCTGGACAAGGGCCAAAGTTTCATATCCATTGGTCAAAGAAAGGACTTCACAGAAGTCACTAATACGTATTTCTTTAGGAGGAGGTCCATCTTTGACCTCCCATTTATTCAGCTCCTTTGAGCAGAGATTGAGTAGTCTGGATTCAAGGGGGGCACAGAGAAAGCACTTGTCCCTAGAAAAGAAATTTATTCACAAAAAAATGTATCTAGGGCTTTGAGAATAATGAGTACAATATCTCCAGATCAAAAGTAAAAAAAAAAATTCCAAGGGATTTGCCATAGCTGAAAATTTACTCCTCTTTTTGCAGAAAGTATTGTCAAGCAACTCTTATACAAAATTCTCATCTGGGTCAGTTTTTGGTTTTTTGAGTCACATGATGGTAAGAATGAAAGCAATTTTAAAACCAGTCACTGATCCTGATATTTCAATTTAGTTTTTTTTGTAGTGATGGACAAAGGAGCAGACACTATATTGTCACCCCAAAAAAACCCCGACAACTGAAGGAAAGCAGGCTTTAGCTACAGAAGTAGCATCTTGAAAAAGAGAAATCTACGGAGATTCTGAACTGTAGGTTGTTTTGCTTTGTTTTTAAGACATTTAATGAATCACCTGGGAACCTATTTCACTGGGTTTTAGAAGTGGCAACACTGCAAGCACAGTGTCTACAGAAATTGTTTTCTGGCTGTTATTCATATATATTTTGACAAGGGAAAGCTGCTAGATGGACTAAGCTTTACATTTGGATATAACCTGTGATAAAAGCTCCTTGGTTTGGGTTTTTTTTTTCATGTTGGGGTTTTTTTTTTCTGTCATGGAAACTTCCCTGAGCAGCATTATAAAGATTAGTTTTTTTCTCAGACTCTTGAAATATGTGCCTAGGAGAAAAGATTACAAGCTTTAACTTTGTGGTTTTTTCAAACATTTCACTATTCTGAAAAATGCATCAAGTCATATTATTTTATCTGCTACTCAGAACGTCTGAATGAATAAACAAATCTTAGTCTAGTGGCATCTTTGAAATTATCAACCATGATAATAAATAAATAAATATTCAGAATTCCCTTATAAATCTTCAGCAGTCTTTGAATGAGTGAACTCAGGAGTGTTGCTATGCAGGTGCCATATCCAAATGACCTCCACGCTTTGCTAAAACAATCTTCATGATTAAATAATTTCTGTTATGTCTGTAGTGTCAAAATGCATTTTTGACTGGAACTTGACAATACTGGCAAATATCCATGAAAATCAGATTTCGATTACACACATACTCCAGAGGAAAATAAATGGATGCTAATGCATGAAAATTAACTATTCACAGATCAGAATATCTCATATCCTTTTTCCCTCCCATCTCTGCTGCTGATACCAGGAGCCTTACCAAACAGCGACACTGTTGACAGTTCTGTATCCAGGAGTCACCGCTGTTGTAGGAAAGCTCCCCGCTCTGATGTAAACATTGACTGCTGAGCCTTGGGTCACATTCAGGACAGCAAAAGAGGTCAACGGTGGGATTTTCACAGTCACAGACCATTCTCCGGCACATCACGTAACCACTCTGTTGTTGGAAGACAGACATAGAGTGATGGCAGAAATTTGACCAATTCCAGCAGTATTAGTACTAAAATTGATTTTTTGGGCATGATTCTAAGCCACTAGATTGGAATCCATGAGTTTTTCCACTGTATGGTATCTTTGTCAAAATACAGTTCAAACACATGCAGAAACCACAATACACACTCAGTAACTACCAAAAACATTCCCCTGTTGTCTTCATATAACCAACCTTCAGACAGCTCTCACCTAAGCTGATGAAACCCAAGGACGTCTTTCCCAAGGGTCAAATTTTAATGGGTTGCACTAAGACATGGTTTAGTGGTCATGGTGGTGTTAGGTTGATGGTTGGACTTGATGATGTTAGAGGTCTTTTCCAACCTTAACGACCCTGTGATTCTATGAAGTTTATGTCATTCTCATTCAGATGCTACTTGAGTCTTGCTTTAAACTTCCAGATCATTCCCTCTTGTCTGTTATTATTCACATAAGGCAGATGATAGGTAACCTGAAATTAAATTCATGCCTATGAAACCTGAGCTGCTGAAATGCTCAGGACTTCGTCAGTAGTGTACTGGGCCTTCACTCTCCACCAGCATTTAGCTTGGGATCAAGCTTCCCACAGCGAACATTTGAGAAAGTTAAGCTGAATTATTCTGCAGACATAGAACCTACCTCTATTTATAGCCATCTGCTAGAGATACTGGCGTCAGTCACCAACTCCAATATGTGTCTAGACAGACAGCTTCTTTGCATGAAAATGCTGCTACTCCCACCCAGAAAACACAGGTGGCATCTCTGCTAACAAAATAGTACTATCATCCCTCTTCCAGTATCACATAATGAAAGTTCTGCTCATGCAAGTTAGAGAGAGGTGTCCTAAGACCCCATATAATATGTAATTCTCTTTTTCTGCAGCACCGCATGCACACCTGAGAAGGCAGCTAGAGCAGGAAATTCACTTGAATCATGTTGCTCTTCCCTTCATCACTACCACCATCTTGCAGAAGCAGCTGTTTCCACTGACCTGGCACGAGCAGACAGAGCATCTGTCATTCTCCAGCACCCAAATCTGACCGTTGTGTTTGATTTTGTCTTCATGGATACAGTCTCCTGTGCAGTTCTTGCCATGGGGACACCGACAGTCGTACCCACCATCCAAGTTAAAGCAAACAGTGTCATTGGCACAGCTATGCCTTCCAGTTCCACATTCATCAATGTCTGCAAAAAACACGCCATGTAATGCTCTTAGACCACATTCAATTAACAAAAATGTTCTTGCGGCAGTCAATGTAAATTATTCTTGGCCATTAAAGCCTTCAGCTGAAAATTAATTTGCACTTCACCAGAATGAGAAGAAATGACTTACAAGTTCACAAAAAATATTTGTCATATCACATCAACTCTTAAAACATGTTTTGAGCTTTCCTATGAATCTAAGTGAATGCTGTTAATAAGGCAGTCAGAATGAAGAAACCACAGGAAACATAAGAACAAAAATAATCCTCAGCTCCATAAAGAACATTAGTTTGTGGCAACCATTCATGAGACATATCGAGTGAAGTAGGAAAAGTTGCAGAATCTTGTTTCCAAAACCTTTTGCTGCTTCTGCTTGGCACACTTGAGTTCACTTCCTGAGAACCTGATGTGAATAGTGACCTTGTAAGCTCATTTAAGCAAGCATACCATGCTTTAAGGTGCATCATCATTAGGATCTGCAAACTAGAATATTTTAATTATTCAAGCTGCGGTGACATCTATACTCCTTGTGTTTAGCACAGTAAATAAAGAAAAAAAAAGTAATGCCTCCAGTGAATAAAGGTAAATTACTTCAAAACAATCATATCTGAAAGAATTCAACCATACTGTTAAATGCCTACTTCATCAAGGCACACGCAAGTATTTTGCAAGGGCAAACTAGCAGCACACACTGTCTTCTACTTGAATAGTTTTTATTTAACTTATTCAGTTGTCCATAGGAAAAAAAGTTATCTGGGAAAAGATCTTTGAAAGGGCATGAAGCAAATAATTATATGGAAAACACCAAAAAAGTAAACACTAGATCCTAGTGATTGCAAATACCAATAAAGCAAGTTCAGTTCTAAATACAACTTTGCAACAGTCTGGCCCAAGCTCTCAATTACAGTTCATTAAAAAGCAGAGTTGTGATATTTAACTGTCCAACAAAGCAGTACAAGACAAAATAAGCAATATGGTCATGCATGTATCTTTCAGCAGCAGCATAAAAGCTTAGCTTTGGGCTCAATAATAGGAATGAAGCCTCCACCTCAAGCACATTTAAAGTGAAGTAACTGAATTATCATTTCAATTCCAAATGTGGCTGCAGTCAAAAAAAAAAGAAAGTAAACAAGCTGCTAACATGAATATGAATTGGGATGAAAAACAGCAGGGAAATAATTGGAATTTCATTTTATAAATAAACAGCATTGTGGGTTTCCTTCAAATACTGTGCACATTAATAGTGGCACATTCTCCAAAAAAAAGTACTGCAAAATTACAAGGGCTTATGGGAAGCATGAGGAAAATGTCATTTGAGAACAACTGAAAAGGTATGGATTGTTCATCTCTAAAAGAACATCAGCAAGAAGGGATATAACCAAAAAAATAATGAATACTCCAGAGAAGACATGTTGAGAGCTTTTGTTCTCTGTATTGCCTAACACACAAGACAGAGGACAGTGTATTGAAAGACAACAAATTTAAGCCTGATAAAAGGAAAGAACTTTGCATGCAATGCATAAACAATCTATGACACTCACTGCCAAAATGTTAAGAAGAGGGGAAAAATGCATAGCCAGAAGTGTATAACGCTAGCAAGAAGATTCAATTTGCAATGCTAACAGATTTTGGAAGAGATATTTTACGCGTTAGGGTCTACGGTGCCCTTATTTACATATCAGACAGTTCAGAACAGGCCAACCATCTAAAATCTCCACATCTTCTACCTCATTATCCTCTGAAGCACCTGGCTGCAACAGAGGAGAAGATAACTGGGACCATGGACCTAATCCAGTATGGCTGTTCACATGGACCTGAACATGTGAAATGTCACCAGCACACTCGAGAGGGAAACCCACAAGAACGTTAAGGATACAGAATTAATTAGTGGCGCAGAGGGCCCTGCCGAGGCTGTCCAGTCTCCATCCTTGAAGGTTTCTAGACAAGTAGCTAACAGGAATGGTTGGAGTGATACTAGGTTGGGCAAAGCAGAGGAAGAGGGTTTCTCTCCTTCCTCTGTTACCTATACTGAAAGTAATACAGTCTGGCAATTTAAAATCAAAATCGACATATACTCAGTCTAACCAGTTTCAAGTTATAAAATAAAGAGAATAAACTCAAATCCTATTTAAATATGATGATTCAGATTAACAGCAGGACTTTCTCTATCTCTGAAGTAATTATTCAACAAATTATTTTCCATCAATTGTGTTCATCTGTTTAAAACACTCTTTTGTAAAAAGCTTTCCCACGGCTAGTGTCATCACTGAGTAATATCACTTCTCAGCAACGTGGCCACTTAACTGAAAGCAGACATATTTAATGAGATACTTGGACAAAGTTCAGCTGTCATGTAAATAAGAACAGTTTCCTTTAAATAACAAATGGTGACCTTATAAACACTAACTCTGCATTTGGCACTTATGCACACGTGTATTTCACAATTTTCCCATGAGAAATAGGCTTCTGGGGTTTGTTTTTCAACATGGTAATGGTTAGTGCACCATTACTGAAAATAATTGAGGTTTCATCATTGACTCTGGTATTGAGCTGAGCTTGTTGAACATTGAGAACTTATGAAAAATTCTGACCATGTTTGTTTCAGTTGTTTGATTCATGAAAATAAATGTTCTGGATAGGGCAACCTAAATATCCCTGGTCAAAGCAGGAGCTATTTATGTTTTGATTCTAACCTAATCAGCAACAGCAGTGTTTTCTAATGCAGCAAGAGAAACAGAAACTTTGCATGCATGAAATTCTCATCTGCATTATTCATTTACATCAAACTTCAGGCATTATCTCCAAAGAACTTGCACACAAATCATCCACACCAAGCAAAACTTCAGCTTTTTTACTTTGGATTTATAACGGATGGTGAATTATGTTACTGACATTTTGTTTATAGCCGTAACCAGCTCTCCAGTTTCCATAACCACACAGACAAGGTACACTTCCCTGCATCTTTTGCGTCTCAAAAATGGAGAGGGGAGGATTACAAGTTGCATATTTCTAGTATATCCACCAACAGAGGCATGTTATTATTGTTCTCACATTGTTTGGGGGGCTTGTTTGGTTTTGTGGCTTTTTTTTTAAATGCAACAAAAGAAACAACAAATATTTAACTTCAGGTTATTTACAACATACTGCTTAGGAATCAAGCAGCTTCAATGTTACCACATTAGAACGCTAAGTCTCAAAAGACTTGGAGGTTTACCTCAGAAAAAAACAGAAACAAAGCGTAACTAGTTATCTAGCACTAAACTGAGGACCAGTCCTTATTTATCTAATCTACACTAAAAGTTACAGCAGCTTTGAGCTGGCATGCTTTTAAAGATTTTCCTTTGTTTGCCATCATCCTCAGGTACAAGGTAATGTTGCAATGACAAAGGAGTACCCTGGATGAAGAAGTAGTGACACACATTACAGAGAGCTAGGAGTTTATTGCATCACATGTAATTTCATACCTGCACAGGAAAAATACTGGACTAACGCCATACAAAACAGTGACAGCACCTGGAATGACTAAACTGCATTTGTAATATATGAGAGACTGCAAAGAAAGAAAACTCCATAAATGAGAATTTCAGTCGCCCCAACAGGCTGTAAGTCAAGGCTGTATTTAACAGATTTACTGGCTCTTCCTTGAAAGAGGCTGTCAAAAAATCCCACAGGGACAAAGCACCATTTGACCTGGGCAGAGCTGTGTGCAGGCTGGTTCAAATGTCCCTACTGAGCAACTCGCCCTGCATTGGTGACCAAGAGCGACCACAATGTGTGCAAGTTCAATATCCTAAAAGGAATTTAAAAGGCTGCAAATAACCTCTGTGGTAGTGCTTAGTTTCAAAGAGGGAATTATGTTAAAATGGTGAAGCTTCAAATATGAATTAAAACTAGCAACCAAAAGCATAATATCTTTTCAGGCAGAAAGAAGATTGTTCACAGATACTATATTACAGATTCAGAGCAAATGTATAATATACTAATGTATAATATGTATAAATAAATGTATAATATACTAATGTAAATAAAGGTAATATTATATGTATATGTAAATGTAATACTAATGTAAATAAATGTATAATATACTAATAATATACTAAATGTATAATATACTAGTTGAAATACTTTAAAAGACGGATACATTTCATATACTGTAATACTTTTATTTGAAAACATCATAAGCTCCCTTGCATAGTACACACTCTTAGAGGAACTATGTGCCATGGAGTAAAAGAGGTTGTTGACTCCCAGATTAATAGTGGGTTAGTTAGTAAATAACAAGAGGCAGGAACAAATGGTCTGATTGTCACAATGAAGAGTTGTCCCAGGGAAGTTCCCCAAGAATCTGTGCCAGAATTTGTGCTGCCCAATATGCTTAGTTGTCTAGGGGAGTGGATGAACAGTGAGATGAAAAAGACTGTTGGTAAGAAAATATTAAAACCAAAAAGTTGACAGTGAAATATAGAAGTATGTCACAGTATTGACTGAGTAAACAATAATATGTCAGATGAGACATTCAGAAATAAAATCACTTTTTTGGATCTGTTTTGGAAAACGGTCTTGGAGCTACCATAGACCTTTAAAAAAATGACATCTCTACAATAGTTTGGACAAAGACCCACAAATATATTATTGATAACAACAGATGAGAAAATTTGCAATAAACTTGCAAGGCACAATTAGGGAGAAAAAATAAGTGTGTACACCTTACTACGAAGTGGCCAAGGGCTCAGAGCTGCAACTCGCCCTCCTCTGACAAACCATCAAGACTTTGGTGCACAACATTCACAGAAAGCCCCCAAACATCTCCTTTAGACATGATTTCCTACCAGAATCATTCTGATATCAGTTAGAGTGTCATCCATGTAGGAAAAAAAAAAAGGATGAACATTTGTTTCACTGAGCAATATGCTGTTGGGAGGGATGGGTTAGGAGAGTGGACAGTTCGTTTGCTCTGAAGCAACTGAAGCTTCTCGGTTACCTTAGCTCTGAAAAGTAGCATTAGCTCAGCAATATGACAGCATCAGGATACCCAAGTCCTTTTTGCTTAAGGCAAAAAAGGAAGGAGTGCATTTGACAGGGAACCAAAGTTTATCTGAGTAGAAAGTTTGGTTTCTGTTCTTCTCTGTCCTAAGTAAACCTACTGACTGATGCAATCATTCTTCAAAGAGCAAGTGAATTCTGAGTAATTTATTCATGACTTCATGCAAGCCAGCTGTCAGAGTGCTTAGCAGATGTAGAAGGTGAAGAGCTGAGACTTCAGATGCAAGTAACACCAGTTTCACAGAAATCTTGTTTCCTGATACAGTAAATGTGTTTAAATTACTGCCTTCTATAATGTAGCAGTCTAGTTTGTGTTTTATTAGTCCTTTTATAAAAGCTGAGAAAGTCTGTCAATTTTGTTCCCAAACTCAATAATGAAGCCTTAATGCCTATAGCTCTGTTTGGGATGCATGGGGAAAAAAAAATCACTTTATTTGTTGACCTTCTGTGATCATGAATAAAGGCAAAAGGGTTTTGATGGAGCTTTGTGAGTTTTTGAAGAGTAGTGATTCTTTCTTTCCTGTCTCCTTAAGTGCTATCAGTAACAAAGCTCCTGCTAAACATTACGAGCACTGTAGAAAGATCTAAGTGCAAAACTTTGAGCTGACAGCGGTTTTTCAACTACAAGAAATTTCATGTACTAGTTAAAATACTGGATGTACTGTGAGATAAATTCAGACATCCTGACAGTGAGCAATTTCCCTGCCTTCCAGATCCAGATATAGGGATGCTGATGTGACCATTTTGGACTTTGTTCATTCATTAAGGCTGGGGAGAATCCTGAGGCTGGTAATATGCCTCCATCCTTCATTATCCCAGATTGTGGGAAATATTGTTCAAGCAGAGCACCAACCCCTTGTGTCACCAGGCACCCTGCTCTATCACATGGAGAAGGAAGTGATTCTACTTCTGGAAGCATGACAGCAAAGGAAAAGCACAAGACATTTCAAAGCAGAAATCCTAAACTGTGAGTTCACATACAGATAAACCCTTACAACCAAAAAAGGATCTTTTCTGAACTGGGCATTCTGGCTTAATGCTTTCCAATCCTACCACTTGCAGCTGTCTCATTTAAAGAATGCGATGCCTTCTAAAAGTGAAGGTATGTTGATCTCAAATTCTGTATCTACAACAGCTGGTACCTGCCAGATACTCTTGGTAAATCCTAATGAGATGCTGCATTAATTAGGTGATCTATTCTTTGGACATGGAAGTATGCAAAATGTATGATGAGGTACAATCTGCACTGTCCTAGGACAAACCAATACAGCCTCTCTCTTCAACTCATTTTTTGAAGTTTCTAGACATCATGGGGAGCAAATTCAAAGGAGAAGAGCAAACATTAACTGAGTCTGAACATTCTTATTTCAGGATTTTGCCCTCAGTGGTTCCAGTTTTTTAATGCAACAAAGCTTCAGGCTGCAGCATCTACTATTTAGCCTAGCTCTCTTTTATGAAATGGTATGTGAGACACAACCTTCCGAGCACCAGTAAGACTGTGTAAAGAAACAATAAAGAAAAGCTGTAAGGGGGCAAAGGTACCAGGTAATATACCATACTGAATGCTACATTTACATATATATATAAAATCTAAGACTTCCCAAAGCCATGCAATTCTCAGAGACCAAGCAGCTGATCTTTCACCACTTTTCTGGAAATACGATGATGAACAACATAATTCTATTTCCAAAGGAAAAGCAGCAAGTGCTGGTAAGAAGTTGAAGCCCTAGAGCTGCATTTCCCATCATTTCTCTCAGTAATTTTTATAGACACCACAGTTCTACCCAGAAAGTAAATAATGTGAAGCAAAACTAATAGCAAAGGAATCTTTAGGTCTTCCATTGCCTGTAGGTACAATAAAATAGAATTATGAATTTTTGCATTCAAGTACATTAGTCAAAATACTCAATATTGTCAGTCATGCTGAAGACAAGGTCAATATATGTGTAAAACAGATGATTCAGCAACTATTATTTCATTATCAAGCACTGACAAAGTCTAATGCTACCAAGGAGTCCACCTCTATCTAGGAATATTCAGTACCATGTCCTAATGAGGCCATTTCCTACAAAAGGTATTCTGTTAAAATAAGGTTTTTAAGGAAATGCTTCTGTGCATCTGTGTTCTTAACAGTGGTGTTTCCTCATGAATTTTAAAAATTGGAGGCTTTGCTGAAGGAAACAAGAAGCTAACTAACACTGATGACAGAATTGCTCTCTGTAGTATTATCAGCACATGGCCAGGGGACACAAACAGACCGAGCTTTGAAGCAGACAATATAGAATAATCAAGAAAGAAAAGATTTATACCCACACTTCCTCAGCTTTTAAAGGTTTTCTCCATTGGAAGAAGGAACTTTCTTGAAAGCAACTAAAACTTACAAAAGATGAGGCAAAGACAAGCCTATTATGTGCTCTACATAAAACACTACTTCCAAGGAGTCCTCTTAGAAAGCAAAACAGACAAGCCCTTGAAGAACACTTCTTAACCCCCATGAGGTTTAAATTCTTTGTTCCATGAAGAAATAATGGCAGGACCAATTTCTCTTCTATGCAATTCTGCACCATTCCTTCTACAGCTCTGCGTGCTGTAGCACTTGCACAAGCCAGAAAAACTTCAGAGGACACCGGCCCTGGATACAGCAAGAAGCTCCTACAGTTGAAGGTGAGAAGTGGAGAACCGAGATTTGAAATCTACAATTAATATAGCCTGGAAGCTGCTGCTCCATTAAAGTGAGTATCTAAAAGACCATCCACCAACAGCTCAATGTAATCACGTCTAACTAGGGGATACTGAAGAAGTGACAAAACAAATCCACTTCCTTATGTCTTTAAACACGGTAGGGGAATCTCTCACAGTGGAATGATCTGACAGCAGAGAAGCCAATTGCTTTTTTACACTACTATATTTTGTTACCAGAACTTCAACTTTCCATACTGCAATGCATTTTAGGCAGTCTTTTCATATCTTTTCAGGTTTTATATTCTGTCTGAGACACAATTTCAATCCAATAAAAAAGTGATGTAGTCAGACTAATAAAACATCTAACTTTCGTCCCGATCTCAAGTGGCATTCCTAAATTTGGAGCTGCAATCAATCAAATTGAAAGTGTTCCACTGCTAGGGACTTGGGTTATCAGCAATGAAGATATTTTCCTGGCATCTGTGATTTAATTCCAATTAGTCGTTATCCTCTGTGTATGTTTAATAAAGAGCTGCTGGCACTTTGCAGAAAAGGTCAAAACATTCCAATAATTGCTACTTCTGCATACATGCAGCAGTAGTGGCTTTTCATTTGCGTAGAAATAGCTACTTAACTGTTGCTTGTTTGCACACATCTTAATAGTCACTTTGTATCACGTGTATCTCTTGAGATAGCATGTGCCAAACCACTATAGTCAACCCACAAGGCAAATGTATTGACATTGATGACAAAACTTGGGTTGTTGAGAATATTTACATAAATGCCTGGCTGGAATATTACCTGTGCCGCGACTGACAGAAGAGCAATGTTATAATCAGAGGGATCACAACTTCTTCTTTGCACCTTCTTGTCCTAACACCTGGCCAGCTAACACTGACATTTAGTTAGTTCTTGACAAAGAAATCTCGCCTTATGAAAGCAGTGGCTGACTCAAATCGCTGATTCCTCCTGGGGATACAGGCTTTCAGCTGTGGTGAAAATGTGTTGAAATAAAGTATTGATGATGGGGATACTGAAAAGGTCATTCTCGCTCCTGGAGAACTGTCTGTGTATCTGCCTTAGTGAAATTAATTCAATTGTTTCCCTTTGGGACCAGTGCAGCCCACCAATGTGAGTTTGAACAGCAAGGCTGGAAAGCTTACACTGTGAGCACTGAATATTTCAGCAATCAGAGACAGAAGGGAGAAAGACTCCTAATTTTGCACAGAATAGTCCATGGCAAAACAGACTGATTTGTTCTCTTATTTAAGAGCTGCAGCGTGCAATATTTTAAGAGCTGAATAATGTTCCATACTAAGAGACTTGTTCTCTCTAACATCATTCATAAACAAAGAAAACCTCCGCATCTCCTTGTCCCCCTGTCACTCTCTTGATTCCTGCACCTTGTCCCAGCTCTAAGTCCACTGAGCTTCTCAGTTTGTAAGGTAACAACCTTCAAATTGCAACTTTATACAGGTAGCCTATTCACAGGAGAAGCACCGCAGTACTAAGCCAGCTGTGGGTAAGGGTATCAGGGCTGCAGAATCATTCTATGCAATGGGAAATATTTTCATCACAGACTATTTCAGTGTAGGAGGAATGAAGTGGAGGAACTGGGGTCTGGACTGAGGCCCATTTCTACACATAAAGAATCTGACATATAAAGAGGTTACTGTGGAGTGAATGATTACAGTGCACGCCATCAGCCCATAGGAAATCACTTATGCAAGGACCATGCACAGAAGCAGATGAGGGGCCAGAGAAACTGCCTTTTAAGCACCATGCTTGACTTCACACATTATCTTAGCAAACAATAGAAATGGACATGAATGCTCCACCTATCTGTTAGGGATATTCATACTTTATATTCTTTTGCCTCTTTTTTATGATGTAACTATGATTGCTTTGGGTCAAGGTTTAACTTTCATTGACACAGTGCCCAAGTCAACACTCAATCAGTACAGTCAGAGATACCAGACATCACTGTAATGCGAGTCATAACTCTACCCCACCTTTTTTTAGATACTGACCTTCACAGGACTCTCCACTTGGTGAAAACATTCCATTGTCATGGTAGCCATCTCTGCATTCACAGTGGTACCAACCAGGCAAGTTAATGCAATTTGCACGGCTGTCGCACTGAACAAAGCCATCTGAGCATTCATCAATATCTGTTCAGTAGAAACAACAAAAAAGGAGAAAATTCATACAGAGGAAACTGCATATTCATCTGATGGAAGAACAACATCACCAGTATTTTTGGGTTTCACAAAAGTATTTTCATTACTGGCACTTGTATTTCCAGAATTATTTATTTGCAGTAAAGTTTTGAATAATTTCCTTTAGAAGACTTGGCTAACGGTGTTGGCCCTGCCAACAGCGGAGGTTCTGCTAATCTCAATTTACTGTTTACATATTAGCATAATACATGATAGATAATCTGACATCTATGCAAGTTGCCCACAGTAGGAAGAAAGGAACTGGATCCCAGTTCAGATAACAGGACGTTAACCCTTTGAGTAGTGCAGGCTGCCTGTTAAGCAGGGATTGTTTCTAGGGACATGTCAAAACATTAAATACTCACTCTGGTCCTTGCTTACGCTCTTTGTGACACTGCTTTTAGGTTAGTAGAGTTTCCCTATCCTGTGGAGTTCCTGTTGAGTTACATCAGTGATTGACACTCAGTATAGCTGACCGTATCTCCTCTCTCACCATCAAAGAGATCAGAATAGGTCCCAGAGTGTGAGTGTTGTTAACAGATACAGAATACCAGGAGTATGGAGCTAAACAGGGATAAAAATGTGTCCTTCCTGATCAGATTCATTGCACTATCATAGTGTTTTATACGAGAGGCAGCACACCTACTTGAGCAGCAAGCTGACCAAGAGGTGCCTATGGAACTGGCATAGAGGGAGACACAACACTTGCAAAGTCCCTTGGGAAACAAAAAGCTCTGAACCTTCCCCCACTCTGAATAATGACTAAACCCTCAATATTCTGGCTATTCTGGCCAAAGTAGGGATTCAACCTTTCTTTAAAAGGTTGAATCTTTAAAACTAAGAACTAAAATAACAAATTACGACTCAAACTCTCAAAAGTATCTCAGCAGTACTTCTATTATCCTCCGGGATGCAGATATGAAGGAGATGTATGATGTGACCACTGATATATATGTAAAATATATCAAAATTCTGCCCACAGTCCCTGTTAGCTCCTTTTTATGTCATCTGTTCTTTTCATAGGATAAAGAATAAACTAAGAAAAACAATTATGAGCATGTAATAAGGTAACAAATCTCTTTTCTAAAAATACGAATGTGTGCATAGATAAAGATATACTCACTCTAGTGTCTTATGAAATCTATTCAAATACAAACTTTAAAAAAAAACCACAAGGCTTCCTCATTCACTGAAAACACTTTGTTCCACACTTAAAAATAAGAAAATTTTTTAAGTAGGTGGGGACACCTGCAAAAACTATAAGGTATCACTCATTCACCCACATGTGGTTTTGATTTGCATTTTTCTTATACATGCCAGGGAGATGTGGGATGTGCTTTGGGTATTTTATTTACATAATAAGTAACAGCTCTTTGGAATCTCTTTGGAATAACCATACAATCACAATGAGTATTTGGTTTAAAAACTTTACAGATACTTGACAAAATTCCACTAGAAATTTTCATTATTGCCTGATTTTCTATCAACAGTCTCTCTAAGCAGGCACTCTTGGTGTACATTACCAGTATTTACGATGATGCGAATTACTAGCACTCCTGCTGGAATACTGCACCAGGTTTATATTTTGCTGCTTTGTGTACCACAAATTAAGTCATAACTCTCTGCTGGTTTTAAACACAGAATTCTCAACTCTACTATGAATTCCAGGATAATGATTGAAGTAGTCCTGCTGCAGGATTGAGAAATGCCAAACCATTACAATCTTCTGCAGTTCAGTGTGTCTATCTCTAAATCAGTATAAACTCTGGCCTTTTTCCTTGTGAGCAGCCAGGAGCCAGAGGGACCTCAGAGGTGTTTGAGAGATCAGAGGAAAATCAATGAAAATTATGTTACTGTAGTGAGAAAAGGTTGGTTTGCAGTCTGCAATTCGCTAACATACCCACAGATTACTTAAGAAAAAAGAAAGGAAAAGAAGAAAGGACTACAGTCTAGACATTGCACTACCACTGGGGAATACGCTGCCTGTGAGACAGCTCGCCTGGCAGAACAGAAACAGAGTGACCGTGCTAAATGCTTGGGATCACCTGGTCAGCACAAAATAACTTGTTGGGGTTGGCCAAAGCTACAAGCCCCAGAGAATCGATGAAGCATAGAAACTCAGAGGCTGAAAGAGAAGAGCTGTTGTTCAGACTCACTGTGAATCTTCATACTGGCTACTTAATAACATGCATTAAGACACTGGATGGCACATATTTCTTCTCTGGGAAAGTGGAATGTATTTATTGGTGACAAGGTGGAGGGAAAAGTGTTATTTAGGTCAAAGCAACAGATATGAATTAAAGAAAGCCTGTGTTCTCTTCAGAACAATTTATTTGTGAATCTATAAGCCTTATAATTGTAAGCACAGCACTGCAGGCTTGAATGCATTCTGACAAACTCACTGATTATTCAGGAAAAACAAGCCTTGAGTGTCACATCAGTATTGGTAAACTGACAACAAAAGCAGCTTTTCTGTAGTTATTTGCAAACTAGCTGACAAACCTGTATCCCAAGTAATATTAGTTGGGATGAAATGCTTTTACACATGCCAATAAACAGAGAAATACAGTCTTCTGGTTTTGTTACGGCTGCACGTAAAGTTGTGTGGAGTTATGTAAGAAAGCCTACCATAATGAGCGTGGATGGAAGCACGCTGCTGGTCTTTAAGAAATGTCCTGTTGACAGATCGCTTGCCTGAAACCATTGCACTGGAACCATCACTGCATTGGTGATGAATAACTCGTTACTCCTTACATGACTTTGCAGCAAAGAAAATCCAGAACAATGCTCAGCACTAACTTTTTAGGCAAACAACATTTTACGGCATGTGCCAGTGGGTTTCAGAATACAGACGTTCCTTATACACAGAATTTTGTTCTAAAACTCTCAGCTAACGCTGATCATTAATTCTAGTAGAGACATGCTCTGCAATGGGACAAAATATAACTGTCACAATTCTGTAAAGAAAACACATCAGAAATATGTTTTGCAAAGCCAAAGCACTGATTCCACGGAAAATATTCTTGACATTTGGATAAAAGGATTTCTATTTTCAAACGGGCATAGCATGGCACAGGAAGTGCTGCAAAAGTATCTACAGCTGAAATTATCTTATTAGTATGGGAAAAGCAACCAGAAATAATTTTTCTCTGTCCTATGGTGGAACATTCTCTGATGAATCATCTTGCAGCTGCTCAGTCAGAGGTGTGAGCCGACAAGAGAAGAAAAACTGATTGAAGTTTTGCTTGGCCAGTGGCTATGGCATATCAGTGGGCTATATGGAACATTAACAGCATTAATGAAGTCCTGTTTGATGCTGTACTAGAAAGGCATGAAAAATGAAATATTACTCTATAGAAGCAAGTTACTGAAAGGCTTTACATTTTCACTTCTGAAAAAAATGAAATGAAATATTTAAGCACAAGGAAAAGAAGGATGTATTTTTTTCAATATCAGGTGATGAGATTTTTAAGCAAACAGGCAAAACAGTCCACATTTTATTCTGAGTATGCAAATTTGGCTCTTTAACTGGCTATAAGAAGCTGTGGCAAAGTGTGGGGAGAAGAAGGTGGAGGGGGGGAAGGGAAAGCATCCTCATCCAAGAAGTAAAAGAGTCTCTCATATGTGTGGCAGGCGAGAACAAATGGTCTCATCCTGCTCCAGTTTATGGCACAACTCCCACTAACTATCATGGAGGTGGCATTTTTCTCAGTTTTTGTCTTTCCTTTTCAAATAAAGAGCACAACTGCACATATCAAATCCGCCACCCCACAGATAGGAGTGGTCAGGTTTGGAACAGAAAGTAATACTGGGACAAGTCTCTGGAAGTGACCTTCACGCCAAGCTGGAAAGCAGCCACACAGCTGTACTGTAGCACCTCAGCATTGTCTCCTCTGGGTGTGCTTCCACCCTATGGCACTTGCATGGCAGATTTGTGATTTTGGCTGGAGAACCCACCTGTGAGACTGGTGAGCCCACAAAACACCAGGAAGATGGGAACTCTCTCTATCCTATGTAATTCATGGATGCACTCATGGCAGTACTGTACATATTCTAGTGCCACAAGACAGGGCAACATTATTATACTCTTATGTTGCACATGATTTGGTGTTCAAATATTCAGGTTTCCTCCTGTACATTTTTTCTTAAATTGAAGTCAGTCAGTCTGCTTATGTCCCTATTTTGTTACCCATTTTTCAACTGGAAAAAAAAATATTTTTTTTTTACTAACTGAAACCTCATTCTATTAAAGTAGACACAAAATCACAGGCGTTTTGAAAGTAAATACTGTATACACTTAGCTCCCCTTGACATGAAAAAAACTTGCTCTTCCAGATCATCTTCTTTATACCTCAGAATCGCTGATTTCCTGAACTGTGGCAACAGTTTTAGCTATTATACCCCTTGCTCTTGGGGAAACCAAGAAAACTCTGCTCCCTGAAGAGTAAAATAAGATCATTAGCAAATTGTTCACTGGTACAGTAAGAAAAAAGGAAAGCTAGCTGTCTGATGAATATTATTAGAGATTTTCTGTATAATAAGAGCTTTTGAAGATTGAAAGTGGTATAAAATTGCCAATTTGAAAGATAGCAGTGCACTTTCATGCTGCAATAGGACCAAGCTCTCTAATGTGGTCAAGGTGCACTCAGCAAAGAACCATGGCGTGGGGGAAAAGAAGGGGGGGTTCTTCTATTTCACATTACTCACTCCAAGACTGAAATACTAATCATCAAATCCGCCTCTCAGAAAAGCCTATATGCCACTATTGTCATGGTTTAACCCCAGACAGCAACTAAGCACCAGGTGCAGATGCTAGTCCACTCCTTCCCACTCCCAGTGGGATGAGGAAGAGAATTGGAAAAAGAAGACTAAAATTCATGGGTTCTGATAAGAACAGTTTAATAACTAACATAAAACAAAATACATTAATAACAATAATAATAATAATAATA